AGATTTAACCCGTTTGCGGCTTTGCGAGCGGTGAGGAGGGGTGTGGAGGAGGAGATCTGGAAGGAGGAAAGGCTCCTGGATGAAAACTCACCCCTCCCTATGCTGGGTGGTCTCTCTCTCTCGCTGATAAGGTTTATTTATTTTGCCGTTCCCCAAGGGAGACTTTGATCTCCTTGTAGTTTTTCAGCCTCTCTGGGTGAAAGTGTTGGCTAAGAGCATCAAAGAAGCAGGGAGGAGCCCCAAAGGTACCCAGCTCCTTTGCATTTCCTAAAACCGAGCAGCTGTGTGAAAAAAAAAACAAAAAACCAACAATAAACGCCCCAGCCTGTGCCCAGGAGAGTCCACTCAATCGCTGGCAGAGCACGGGTGTGCCTGCTCTTTGTGAAGTGCTGTGGCTTCCAACAGCAGAAATATGGCATCCCTGCTCAGGCCGGGGGGGGTGGGTGGGATGGGGATGGGGAGACGACAGACTTATGGGGACACTTGAGGAAAACTCTAAAATAATTTGTCGCCAGCCCTAGGGGGTGGACAGGATGGGGATGGGGATAGGGAGACAACAGACTTGTGGGGACACTTGAGGGAAACTCCAAAATAATTTCTTTGTCACCAGCCCCAGGTGGAGTCTGTTTTTAAAAACCCTTCACCTCTGATAGGACAAGGGATAATGGCTTCAAGCTGGAAGAGGGCAGATTCAGATTAAAAAAAAAAAAAAAAAAAAAAAAAGATTTAACCCGTTTGCGGCTTTGCGAGCGGTGAGGAGGGGTGTGGAGGAGGAGATCTGGAAGGAGGAAAGGCTCCTGGATGAAAACTCACCCCTCCCTATGCTGGGTGGTCTCTCTCTCTCGCTGATAAGGTTTATTTATTTTGCCGTTCCCCAAGGGAGACTTTGATCTCCTTGTAGTTTTTCAGCCTCTCTGGGTGAAAGTGTTGGCTAAGAGCATCAAAGAAGCAGGGAGGAGCCCCAAAGGTACCCAGCTCCTTTGCATTTCCTAAAACCGAGCAGCTGTGTGGGGAAAAAAAAAAAACAACAAAAAACCAACAATAAACGCCCCAGCCTGTGCCCAAGAGAGTCCACTCAATCGCTGGCAGAGCACGGGTGTGCCTGCTCTTTGTGAAGTGCTGTGGCTTCCAACAGCAGAAATATGGCATCCCTGCTCAGGCCGGGGGGGGTGGGTGGGATGGGGATGGGGAGACGACAGACTTATGGGGACACTTGAGGAAAACTCTAAAATAATTTGTCGCCAGCCCTAGGTGGAGTCTGTTTTTAAAAACCCTTCACCTCTGATAGGACAAGGGATAATGGCTTCAAGCTGGAAGAGGGCAGATTTAGGTTAGATATCAGGAAGGAATTTTTCACTATGAGGGCGGTGAGACACTGGAACAGGTTGCCCAGAGAAGTTGTGGATGCCCCATCCCTGGAGGTGTTCAAGGCCAGGCTGGATGGGGCTTTGAGCAACCTGCTCTAGTGGAGGTGTCCCTGCCCATGGCTCTGCCCTAGATGATCTTTAAGGTCCCTTCCAACCTGAACCATTCTGTGAAATATTTCAAGCTATCCAGTTTAGATGCTGCACACAGAATTGTGGAAAACCTGTCGGGAAGGATTGCAGATGTCTTCTCCCTCCCCTTGCCTCCCAGTGGGATGAGCTATGCCTAAGACACCCCTGGCAGATCCTGAGCTAGAAAATGCTGTGGAGGCTCATGTGCCCCCAGACCTGATTTTCCTGGTGTTATGCTCAGTCCATTGGCTTTTACATCAACCTTCAGGCCATCAGGGCTACTCTGGCAGCACCTGGGCAGCTTTTACTGGAGCCTGGCTGCCCTGTAGGGAAACGCTGCCCGGTACGTATGGTGTCCTGGGACTGTCTTTGCTGAAGGGTGTTGAAGCCTTGGAAATATTCAGCCCTCACTGAACTCATAGCTTATGGCTTCTTGCTCGGTAATTGAGGATGGGCATCTCCCTGTTATCTGGGTCAAGGAAATTACATGCAAGAACAGCCTTTTTTTCCCCACTGTTCTGTGAGGGGTTTTTTTTCTTCTTTTTTTTTCTCTCCCCACCCCCTGTTCCAGACTGTGGGGCTCAGGGGGTGATACCAGCTCCCAAGGGCACTGCAGTTCCATGCGTGCAGACTACTCGGGACACAATAAACTGTGAGGGGAGCAGGGTTGGTGGGGGTGCCCTTGCAGTGAGGCAGGAGGGTGGGATCAACTCAAGGTTCATGAAAGCAGATGCTGTGATCCCTATCTCCTCCTTTGTCCATTCTTGTGCTGGAGGCTTCATGCTCTCCTCAGCTGCACTAATCTCATCCCACAGCAGCACGATGCCAAAACAGGGCTGTTTCCCTGCAGGGGAAAAAAAAACAGGTGCACCTGAAGTCTTTTAAAAAGCAAACAAGAAAGGCGGTGAACTCTGGAGAAACAGAAGTTAAAAACTAGTTCTGGTGGAAGAGAAAATTACTTCTCCAACCTTCTTCCCCCTGGTTAAAACCCTGTTTAAAATCTCTCACGCGGGAACAATTTTCAACTTTGCAGTTCAGCTTGTGAAAGGGAAGAAAACCAAATATGAGCTTTATGCCTGGAGCACCTGTGCCTCCAGGAGCTGCTGCTGAAGACCCTCTTTCTCCCCCCTCCCAAGTAGGTGGGGGTATGTGAATAAATGGGGTTGAGGCATTGGGCAGGGTGGTGGAAAGTCTTGGATCTCTGCTGGGGCCAGCCAGATCCAAGAGGTTAACCCAGCGTATGGGAAACCCCAAAATGCAATAGGTCTCTGCTGTGACGCAGTTTCCAGCAGAAATGGGACAGGGCAGAGGACAGGGGACCTTTTGCATAGGCAGGTGGTGGCTGGGGAAACCCTCTCCAGGAAGATATGGCTGGTGTCATCTAAGAGAAGTAAAATGGGTCGGGCCTTGCTCCCCATGGACTGGAGTGGGACCCAGCTGCTAGCTTGTGTGAGTGATGTCCTGATGTCCCTTTGGGACACTGGCCTGTCCTTGCCAGATGAGCAAGGGGAGATTTTCTACTGTTATGTCCATCAGGCTGCCCATACACTGCAACAAAGGGGGCTTGAATCTTGGGGTGCTGGAAACTAGGATGGATCCTGCCTCTGCACCTCGCGCGCTGCCTGTCAGGGCTGGACCCTGCGGCTAAGGGAGGGTCAAAGGATCAGCTGGATCCGTGGAAGCTTCCTTCCCCATTGCCCACACCCTCTGTGTGTCCACAGAGCTGCGGCTGTGTGGGTGCCACCCACACCCCAGAGATGCTGTAACGCTGTGGTTGCTGAAGGAGGGGCAGAAAGGCGTCATCTTCCAACTGTGACACATCACACACGATCAGCTGAACCAGCTTGGGCTGCAGGACCAGCTGCCTCCCCCTCCCCGTTCATCTGACACCAGAGCAGATGCCAAGAGTGTGGCAAACACACAGCAATGTTTTCCTTAATGCTGTCTTCTGGCGTCCGGAGAGCTGTGGCTTCTCAAGCCAGAGGTTGGGTTTCGGTGACTAATAGATGTATACGGATATTTCTGGTGTGAAGCAATCCCATTCCGGCACTCACAGTGTCCTGCAGCAGGGAGACCCATGGTTTATCCACGTGCTGCAGGGAGGTGACATCTCCTGTTTGCCACCCTCAGCTGTTTCTTTTGCTGCCCTCTATTTCAGAAAAGACAATAAGCAGTTGTTTCCTGTTCACCTGGAAATTTACAAACATCCGTTCTTCCATTTCACCCTACTGCTTTTGGACTGTTTTCCAGAGGTTAACAACCTGCTCCTGCCACCAGCTGCCACTTATCCCCTCCCCTTCCCTCTCTGGAAGAAGATCCAAGCTTTGTATACAGCAGCAAACGATCCTTCTTGCTTCATTTCTCCTCTCCCTGCAGGTTCCTGGCTCTTGAGTGAGATTTGACAACAGGATCTTCAGGAAGGTGAAGTGGCTCTTCTCAGAGCTGGAGTTTAACCCCTGCTCCGTCTCCATCCTGGTGTGCAGCTCCACAACAGGCCTCGTGCTGCTCACCTCGACCATGAAGGAGCTGATGAAGAGAAAATTTGTCCAAGCTAAGCACCATGTAGAGACTCTGGAGGAGGAGACCTCTGGAGCAGGGTGTCCAGCAGCTCAGGCAAGAGGTAATGTCACGGAGTGATTCCTTTTGGCCCTGCAAGAAAATTCCATGCTTCAGCCAAGTTGTTCGCTTGGTGACACTTTTGTTGTTCTCTTTGTAGTCACCTCTGCCTAGAGAAGAGGCTTGTTGTCCTCACTGATTGTGTTCCAGGGTTCTGCTAGTGGGAGGGCTGGTTGCTCCCTAATCTGCTTCTAACTGGAGTTTCTGAGTTACAGTAAGCAGATTGAACCCATACTTTGTGCCAGATTTGTGGACTCTGCTCTGAGGCAGAAGAGGGAGTGCTCACGTATTTTCTCCACCAGGAGCATGGAGGAGGAGCTGACCTGGAAGAGGACCATGACTTGTACGTGCAACTTGCACTTGCACAAGCTCTTTTTTCTCCTTGTGCACCTGGCAGCTGCTGCATGGTAGACTGAGGGAAGGTAAGGAAAAGTTGAAGAGGTCACAGCAGTGGAATCGCCAGAATGGGGAGGACCCTTTGGGAAATCCCTAAGATTGCTGAAGACACCTTAAGCAAATAGTGCACCTTGCAAGCACCAGGATCAGGCTCTGAAAACCTCCTCTCTACAGAAATGGGGGTGTGGGGACTCATTTCCAGTAGTGCCTGTGTTACAGCAACCGAAGTCCAAACAGCTTTGCATTTCATGTGAACATTAAAAAATAAGATGAAAAAAAAAAAAAAGAGAGAAAGAAAGAAAATCTAAGTGGCTAAAATTACTCTTGTAGTTGTTTTACACAGCTGAATGAAGATAATTGTATTGGCAATTGTGAGTGATTACAGTATTATCTGCCATCAAAAAAGTTATTTTTTTGAATGCTAAAGGAATTAATGATACATAAAACTGTGCTTAGATTGAGTGCATTCATCAGCA